GCCGCGTTCGCGGGTCCCCAGCCTCCATCGCTCCCGGAGGACGCGGAGGAGGTGAGCGCCCTGCAGGCACTGCCGGTGAGTGGGGCCTGGTCAGGGCGGGAGGCTCGTCATCCCGCCTCTGCCATCTTCACTCCTCAGTTCCTCTGTCCTTAAACCACTGCTCTCGACGGTTTTCAGATCAACGTGCAGCTGAACATCATGTCCTTCCTCTCGCCCCAAGATCTGTGCCATTTGGGAAGCACGAGTTGTTATTGGAGGGCAGCTGTGCAAGATCCGTTGTTGTGGAGGTATTTTCTCCTGAGGGATCTCCCCTTTTGGACGTCTGTTGATTGGAAATCGCTCCCAGATGTGGAGATTTTTAATAAAGCCTTTTCAGAGGTCAGCGATAATGCGCTGTACGATTACATGGCAGTGTAAGTATCTTCATAATCTCTCTCGCAGTCTCTCTACAGCAGTAATATTCAGCACACGGGCATGTTTCATATTTACAGCAGTAAAGCCGTGCTGTAAGCCTCTGCTTAAATTTTGTTGTGTCTCAAATCCATTGTTTGTTTTGGAAATACAATTTCCTGTTGTTTGACAGTTTGGTCAGCTCCTTCTGTTTGAAATTCAACAAGAATGTAAAACATTGTAAAAAAAAGTCAAAGCTAAGGTTATAAAAAAATTAAAGTTTTTTGTAAACTGCATGTCATTTGTGCCACAGAAATACAGTCATCTCAGAAGCTGTGCATATCTTGATAAAAATGTGTTCTTTGCTCTCAGTACAATGACAAATGATTTCTTATTTTAATAAAAGTACTAAGAGGTCTTTAAACTACAGCAAATGGAATGAATCTTCCTTTTTTTTCATCTTACCTGGAAGACCTAGGGCAAAAAAAAGTGGTTTTTTTGAATGCGCACAGAATAACAACTAGTACTGCTTTGAGTCTGATGGTCAAAGGCCACAAGACAAAGACTGTGGTTTCAGCTAGTATCTTTGAAAAACATAGCAACATTCATAATATGTTTGGATGACTGAGAAGAACTCTTAAAACAAGCAGATTATTCTGTGGGGTTTTTTTAAACTTCATTCAATTCCCTTAATTAATTTACAGTAATTTTTTTTTTAATTTGCAGTTAAATTTTCCAAAGGTGATTTCATGAAGCTGTTGCTTCATAATAACTGCACTAACCTCTGCAATCTTTGTGCCCTTCATCCCCACTTTACAGATGGGAAAGATGCACCCAGAATTTGAAGTGCAAAATACCTCCTGATTTTGAACATTAGATTTAAATCTCTTTAGGTCTGCATACTTCAGAGCATCACCTATTTGAAACCACCTGTCACTGATTTCCATTGTGTCTGTGAGCCCTTAATAGTTTTGCTGACCGCAACGGAAGTGTCTCAGTTTGGGTGTAGAGGAGCGCACATTTAACGTTTCCTTGAAGTGATTTGTCCAGCACCAGCCTAGCATGACCACAGAAGCAAAGACAGAAGCTGCTCCTCTAGCATGTCGTGTCACTTCTATGGCTGTTACTTCTTTCCCTTGATTACCAAAGTCTTTTCATGCCTTCTAGCTTCTGCATCAAATGAACACATAAGCTTGCAGACAACACCTGTGTCCTTTCACAACATGCATTCTCTGTGCTTACAGGGGAGATGGTCTTTTTCAGGTGGAGTTACCTGCTTCATAGTTAATAAACACAAAAGTGGTCTAATTAAGGTTTGAAATGCACTCAGAAGTCTCGCATTTTTTATATTGTATGTGACTCACCAGCTTTGATGTTATATTACCAATATTGTATGTTCAGTGAGGGTGGGGGAATTTGTAATTTTATTTTATTTTATTTTGTTTTATTTTATTTTTTAAACTAAAATAAAAGATCTGTAGATAGAAGTGTACTACGGTCCAAAAATTCAGTATTTGGACTTGGAAGGGACTAATGCCTTTACCTGCTTTGTACTGGTGCTTGAAACCATCAGTTTTGAACTTCATCATTTTTGACCTGTGCTTGAGTTGTACTGGTAACAAAGCATGAGAAATGTGGGACCTAAATCAATTTATGGTGTTTGATTAATACCCCTTTTGTATTTTGTGTTTAATTTGTAGTTGCGTCTGTTTTACACAGATATAAAAAAAGCTGTCCTCAGAGTAGAAGAAGTTTGAAATCGAGCCGTCCCCGGTATGGGGCTGTGACTTCCTTTTTGCAATCACTGGTCACGCAGGCAGAACCTCGCTTTGCTATGTTTGGGCCGGGTTTGGAAGAGCTGGACAACTCCTTAGTGCAAAAGATGATGACATGCCCAGAAATTCTGCTAGTAGCTGGCCTACCTCAAAGACAAATTCACGGTAATGCTGGTTTTGGTTTTTGGCTTTTTTTATTTTGTAAACAGATATAACACAAAAATCATTAGGGGAGAAATGAAGAAAAGGGATGCTTTGTTTTCTCCCTGAAACTCAGTAGCAAAATGGTAAAAAAAAAGATATTTTCTCTCTTTGTGTTTATTCAGAGGGATAAATGCAATGAACATGTGGGATAAAATTATAGCTGCAGTGAATTTATGATTACATTTGCACTGTATCAGAGGGATCGTTTTGCTCTTTGTACTTCTGTTTTGATCTTAAATTCCACGTTACACCTGCTGTTGTAATGGATAAATGCAGACAGAACTTTCTTTAGATACGGCTTGCAGTAAGTGCACACATTTGTGTTTTTATACAGGAAGTCAAGACTGATCCTTTATATGATTCAGTCTTGTGGTGTCAAATGGTGTAAATTTCATTTAGAAGAGTTATAGGAGCATGTGAAGGATTTTTTTTCAATGTCTAAACATAGTTTTGAACATCTGTAATTTCACTTCAGTCCAAACCAGAGACACAAATCTATAACTTTTTGAGCATCGCAGAATTGGAATAATTAGATTGTATTTATAGAAAGTGTGAAAATATGATTTCTTAGTGGTGTTATCTTTTTCCTCTCATGTCCTTTTCAATGCAGCTTGTCATAAACAGACTAGAGCCTTTGCTATGCCAGTTTCAGCTAATAAATGCAAGTCTAGCTCCTCTCTGACTTAGGTTACTAGGTTCAAGTCTAAGTATCAGAAAGATGGAAATGCCTCCTTGTTTTCTTTTAATACTATTGAATTGATTTTAGTTAAATTAATAGTCTGAGCAATTAGAGCATGTATAAAATTTCATCATAAAATAGTAAATATGCTACCCCTAAGAGCAGCACCTAGGCTTAGATATAGCCATTTTATAGCACCACTGGAATTTTCAGCCTACCACTTAGTTGTGTTCAGTAACCAAATGGTTGTAATCTCATATATTCATTTTTTTCCTGTAGGAATTGGATCAGGAGTCAGTTTTCAGTTTAATAACAATCAAAAATTCAATATTCTGACATTGTATTCAACCACCAGGTAAGATTTGTTCTCCACCAAAAAAAAAGGTACAGTTTCTGGGTTATTTCATCCTTTTCCTCATGTTTTTGTCATGTTATTTTTATGTGTGTATTCACATGCATGGATATCCCTTATAAACTGAAGCTTCAATGCCTGTCTTCACTTTTTTTCTCCAACTGCAACATTTTCACATGGAAGCAATAAACCTTTTCCAAATCTTATAATAGCAAAAGTGCATGACAAATACATAACAGGGGCTTCTATGCCTCTTGATACCTTGATCAATTCCCTTCTGAAACACTACACAAACTCATCCGGGGGTGTACTTTCATACACATTTTTGCATTCTCAATTAACCTGACTACTGAAATACTGAAATATCTTTCAGTGTGGAAAGGAGGAGAGCAAGGGCAGAGCAAGCTGTTGCTGTGAATAAGATGTTCTACCAAGAGAACAGCGTAGTAGGGAATCAGCAAGCCGTGCACTACAGTGTAATAGCTCAAGTGAAAAAGGTGTGCGAAGTAGTTGATGGATTCATTTATGTTGCTAATGCAGAAGCTCATAAAAGTAAGGGGTTTCTCTTTATTCATATTTTGTGAATGATTGGAATGTCGTAAAAGATTGTAAAGAATATGCAATACATTGAAATCCATGTTCTGATTCTTTCAAAGTCTGCTTCATTAGTGCTATTTCTTCATGGCTTATCCAGTTGAAGAGGTCCCCTATCCTAGACACTCTCCCTCATCTCCCTGTGAGGGGTTATGACCCCTTCTTTCATTTATGGCAGATACTGATGTGGTTGCCATCTAAACTATGTGTGGGAAATTATCTGTATTAAAAAAAAACAAACAAAAAAAACCCCTGGGCATGGGTAGGAGAAGTCGTCTGAAATGCATCAGTGGTGGTGTAATAGCCTGGAAACACAACCTTCACCAGGAAAACTGCAGTAAAAGATGCAATTAGTCCAAATCAGGATAGTCCTATAAGAGGACAATCCAAGTACCTATTATGGTAATTGTCTTTACATTTATCAACTTTAAATGGAGGGAAAGGGCTAGCTCAGAAAAGAAGAGGGTAAAAAATATGTGAAGGGATAGACTAAGGAGAAAAGCAAGGTCAGCAGGGAAGGGCTGATGATGGTACAGCGCGTACAGCCATTTCTTAATGGCTTGTTACAATTTTCATCTCTGTGAGGTACTTGAAAAACACTCTGATGGTAAGGACTGGAATAGGGTGCCTGTATAATCTATGGAGAGCTTTAAATAACAGCTAAGTGTGACATGAACAGCTGTGT